GCAAAATCTATTACTGCAACAGTGCAAAGGTAAGTCTGGGCTTTGCAAAATGACATACAATCAGAAAACATCTGCAGATGCATCAAAAAGTCACCTGCAGGTCAGATACTTGTAAAACAGGTTTGCATGTCTGCTTAAACTGTGACTTCAATCCTGAATTTTTGGAGAAAGCTAGAATAATCAAAAGTTCCCAAGTTATTCTCAAAGCACTAGGTTTAGAAAAACAGGTCTCATCATTTGAATTATGGCACAGAGAGCAAATTTCTTTTGAGATTAGAGATCATGCAAGCTCTGTGATGTTTTGGGATGTACTACATCAGTGTTGCTTACCTGCAAGTTTCAATTCTGATAGAAGCTGAGAAGACAGAGCCTTTATTCCACCTGCAGAATCCCTGGTATTCTCCAAATTCCAACCTTTCAGCTCCTTCCTGTAGCTCAGTACATGGACTACAGACTTGATCAGATCCTCTGTGAACTTAAAAGGTTAAAACATCACCATGCCATCATTTCTTAAATAACGCTGCACAGTGCTCCAAAGACTTTCTAAGGGCAAAGCCAAGCAGTACTGATGCTGTAATCCCCATGACAGAAGCATCTCCTCTCATGAAGTCAGAAATAACCTACCCAAGGGACCTGCTTTGGCAGGGGGGTTGGACTTGGTGATCCCCAGAGGTCCTTTCCAACCTCTGTAATTCTGTGATTCTGTAATTACTTTATCAGTGTCATAAGGCTTGAAAAGTGTGTTTTTAAATATCACATCCCAAATTGTCCCTGTAAAATAGAATGCAAAAGATGGGTAGGGGTTGAAGGTTTGCAGGGTAGAAGCCACTGATGAATTCTACTTTGCAAAAGATATTTACTTGATCTACCCTGTGGCTAATGCTACATTTAGCTCAGTTCCCAGAAGCACCAACCACACCTCGCTCTTTGCTGACTCCAGCCAACGCCATCTATCCAATATCAGCAGACCAGCAGCAGAGTGAAAAACAGCCATGAATCTGTTCTGAATCATCTTGCGTCCTAAGGGTTACCTTCAGATTACCTACCAAAGCCTGTGCTCTCTTACTGCCCCCCAAAACATGCATTTCGCTTTTGGTGTACCTCTTGGATTTCCTTGCCTTTCACAGGTCCTTCTGTGGAGGAGATCATTCTCATTATTATGGTAATCTTCTCATCTGCATTTCCTTTTAAGAGGTTGGACATGAAAATTACAAACTGCTCCTTAGCAATGTGGTCACTGGGTGCAGACGATTTTCCAGTCAGGTCAATACTTCTCATTCCATTGTACAGCCTAACAGTCATTTGCTCTGGCAGCGGTTCCCTCATATATGCCTACAAGGAGAAAAACAGAAAGAATGTATATTTTTAAATGAATAACACATACTTTTGAAATGAAGAACACAGTTAACGTGCACTGAGATATACTGCTATGAGCAAAGGTTTTTTTATTAACAGATGAGTAGAAATCACAAGCAGAAGAAAGGTTTTTTTATGCATCTTCAGACTGGGTCTCATGACAATGCAGGCAGTGGGCAATGTTTTTCACTCAGTGCATGTGGAACAGAACTGAGGTCATCTGAGTTTCATAAGGCATCCTTAATGCTAAGACAGTTGAATTCAGGGATTGGTCACCTAAGCTGTGTGACTGGCCCACTGAATTCAGTTAGACTTCAATTCGTGTGCACACATTACAACACCACAAAGAGATCTGAATCCGTGTTCAAGAAGTATTCACAGTGTTCCAGTTAATGACAGGGCTTAAAAATAAGTCATCTAAAACACATCTGTATGCTAGGATATTATTACAGTGTCTTCATTGTGTGAGGCACAGTGCAGAACATGCTGAATACATGACCTGAGGCATGGCCCAGTGGGGACTACACTAAAATCAGCAGAGCCCCACCTCCATAAAAGCACTCCTGATCAATTCAGCAGAGCTGCTATTACCCATCTATTGCTGGCTCAATACCACCCCTATCAAAGCCACCAGGGATGTTCCTATTTGATGTTAATGGCTGTTGCTGTGCCTATAGGGTGAGATGTAACGTGCTGAGCTCTACCCTCCTTCTGCTGACGTCAGTGGTACAACTCCCATTGATTTCAGCAGAAGCAGAATTAGTAAAGCCACAGTCACACACAATAGAAAGCTTCGTGTAGAGGGAGGGACAGTCACAGGGGGTACAGCTGCCTTCAAGAGGCTTTCTAGCAGCACTGCATGAGCCTAAAGTAACATAGGCAGCAGGAAACAACATTAAAAACATGACACTGGACACACTGCAGTATTACCCACCCACTCCATATCCTTTCCACCCACCACTTAGCTGCACTATTTTGTTATGCTTACAGTTATTCCAAGAGCAGACTCAAGGGGAACAGGGCAGGTGAAGAGAAGTAGAACAGTAGGAAGGGAAGCTTTAGAAAACATCTAACAAACACACATCTCTGACACCTTAGAATTCCTGTTGTAAAGGGCTTCAAGTAATTATCTAGAGATACCTACGTTTTCTGCTTTCCAACTGTGCAGTGCAGCCTGCTCTGGCCCAGAAGCCACGCAGCTTCTTTGTACTAAAGCTGAATTTACCAGAGTTTGTAAGTGGGGCCCAGCCAATGTCATCAGACTTGCTAGATCAAATATGCCATGTATCAGTCAATCTCAGGAGCCTACAATGCAGGCACACCACTGCAATCACCCCTGTAATGAGGAAGTAGGCACCTCCACGCAGTCTGTCCAAAGATTTAAGTTGGCAAGCAAAAGGGAAAGCAAAGGGAATAGGCAAAGGTTCATCAAAAATCCCATTGAGAGGCCAAAGCCAGAAAAAGAACTTCCTCCAGGTCACCAAGGACCAGATTCATGGAAGGAGGTATTAGAATTGAAAGACTGGGCAGCAGCAACACTGCTTCAAACTGGTGAGAGCTGACAAACAGCCAGGCTGGAAGGAAGTTGAAGCTGGTCTGTATGCAGATGCATTGTTAAATATCTTAAAATATCCTGTATCTCTCACGTGGTTCTAATTTGAGTCCATTAATTGGGTAGCGTATGTACCAATGCACTTTAATACTACATTCATTTGGCCACTTGATTCCTATCTAACTGAAGTTATGAAATATTACAATGAATCATTTTCTACTTCTTTCTTGATTAGAATATCAATGCGAAGGTAATCAGAGAGCATAACATATACTAATTAGATAAAATAGGGAGCTACAGCTTAATCAAGCAAAATTGAATTCTCTCCTGATGCAAGTGAGAACATTAGATAGCGATGCAATTGAAGGAGAAAGATACAGTCAAAAACAGAGATGTGACAGCTTGAGAAAATCCATAAATAAATTACACGTACAGACTCCTGGGGGAAAAGCATTCCTCCCACTTTTCTAGATTCTGTAAAAGTATTTTCATACCTCCCAGCATATCTCAGGATCAGGAAAGCTAGAAATTGATGCAACAGGAAGACTCAGGAGAGAAATACCAACTCAGAAGTCATTTCTCAGCTTAATCTGTAAGAAAATATTAACTACGTGTCCTACCACAAAATATTATTAAATTAAGACTTAAAAATAATTATTGCCATGTCTTTAATTCTTTTCTAGAACTGCATTCAATATACTGTTCCAGATGTATCAAGAATAATTTATTTTCTTGCCTTCAGTGCTTCCAGAGTGACAGTTTTCTTCATAGCTTTTCCATTTTTGGCTGCTGCTGAGCTGCTTGATCCCGCTAAGGTATCAAATACGCCATCAACATCAGACTGCTCCTCAGGAAGAAACCTGGAAAGGTGGTTCCGATAGGCATTGCTTTCTGCATTTCCCATCTTTTCAACCTGAAGCAAAGGGAAAGGAAAATAAACGCAAACACAGAACGGTATCACAACAGTCACAAGAGACACACAGAGCAGCCTGACATACCAGTGCAAGTTCTACAAGAGGAGCAAATGAATGAGTTTGATGAGAAACTACTGTTAACCGTGTAGCAGTAACTGTGACAAAAAAGGACAGTCAGCTCTCTGCTTAGACCACCCTGTCTACCAACTCAAACGTCATCGAGGCCTCAAATGGAAAAACTAGTATGATTTAATGATTAAATCAGCTCGCACAAAGTGACCGTGAGCCTGTCAGCTGGAATACATCAGTGAGGCGAAGGTAACAGCCTACTTATGGATTGTTTATGCCAGATGATGCTGCATCTTCCTGCTGCATTAACAGACTGAAGCTGCGCCTGCCAACATTACACAGCACTGCAGCACCATCACTCTGAAGATCGCATGAGGAGTTTTTCTTCATGAGTTGACTCAGAAATCCGTGAGGAAACAAGGGGGGCGAACAGAGTTAGGGTACGACTGGAGACACGGCACCACCTCATGGCTTCACATGACTGCGGGACCAGTTGGCAGCTGCCACCCACAGCATCAAGGCGCTGGGTTCCTTCGTGTGTTTTGTTTAAACATCTGACGCTACGCTTATAACCTCTCTCAGTGTCTCGGGCTTCACCCGCATTACAGCGACTAACTGAACGGCTGGGGGTTTGCCTGGGCCACACGCACGAGCTTTCAGAGCAGCACAGACCCAGCAGCGTGCCCGGCATCCCGAGCTGCACTACGGCAGCACAGCCTTCCATGTCCCCGTCTTACGGGCACAGCCGCACACGGAAGACAAACTGCACCATCCGCCCTTTTTTGCGGTTTGCTTTCCATTTCCACACCACTTCCGGCACTTCGCTTTCGGTTCAGGGCTGCTACTTCCACTCTGATCTTGTTTAATAGCGAAAAAAGCATTACGCCGAGTCCGTCCTCCTACCCAACCCACAGCAGCCCCGCGGCGCCCCCTCACGCCCCGCTCGCCGCCCGTCGCGCCCCGCACCTTTGCGCACAGCCCCGCTCAGCGACTGGCGCCCGCCGAGCAACGCGTTGCGGCTGCGCGCGGGAATGGCGCCGAGCGGGGCCGCCCCTCAGCACGCGGCTCCGCCCCTGCGGCCACAGCAGGTGCCGCCTCGCAGCCGCGCGGTGGCGGTGTGCGTTAAAGCTACGTGCAGCTCGCTCCGAGCCCTTCAGCACGGCCGAGGATGCGTCCTCGCGATGATTGACTGCACGTATGTAGAAACAAAAGCTCTGGTCGTAAATTATTTTAATCTCTTTGCCCGTCCTCCTCGCTCGCGGTGCGTCTCTCAAGCTGGGCCTGCTGTGGTGCTCCGGTTCGTATCAGCGTTAATGAGTTGATGCCTAAAGAGATGGTATTTCTGTGAACAGTCTCAGATGCGATTGCGTTGTCTCTTGTTCTTCAGGTTGCACTCCATACTGTAGCTCCATGTGGCATTGCCTCGCTCTAGAAATGCAGGGTTAGAGATTCTGCTTCTGCTGACCTTGCACCAGTTCAGCAGTCAGCACCGTGCCTCACATGGCCTCTCTTGTTTAACTATTGTGGCTCCTAAAGGACATCCGGCCTTCCTCACTCCAAGCAGCTGCTTTTTACAACCACGTTTTGCCCTTTTTATTCAGGCCTTGCCCGTGTGTAACAGAGGTGACTCGGTTTATTTGCCCTGTCAGTCAGCAAAGATCTTCCTGCAGCTGCTAGATGGCGTTTGGTCACTTGCCTGGTAATACTGGGCTCCTCCACAGCGCACATGTATTCTTACAGCCACGAGACACTAGCAGTAAATCACACGCATTGTGCTCCTATAGTGGGAGAGCTGGCAGGTCACAGATTGACACCTTTTCACAACCTTTTTGCACCAAGAGCGTATAAAATCAAGCTAGAAACCTGGTTTATGAGTGCAGTCATTTGCAACGCTCTGTGAATGACTAATCACTTCCTCAAGTGTGTTTTTAGATGCTGAACTCTTACAAGTCACTTTGTTTCCACCAGTAAGAAAGAGAGAATACACCATAAGGCCTTTTAAGGACATTCAGGAATTTACTGCTGTGTTGGAAAGTGGAGGAAAGGGGACAAAATAGAGCTCTGTAAATCTCTGCGGCCAGTTTGTGAACTAGCAACTGGTGTGAGTTTGGTTATAGAATGCAAAAAGCACACTCTCAAGGTCCCAAACTCTTATATTTAATAATTTCTAACCATTTTTATTTTAGACTGGTATGAAATTGAGTTGTTCTGATTTCACTTGATTGCCAAGATTGTGGCAAACCTAGATAGCTTTAATTCCCAGCAATTCTAATAATCGCACTTCTTGTTCAGGGAAAGCACTACAAGATCACAACCTGAAACGTAGACAAATATTGACTATATTTCCCAAAAAAACACTGGGTTTCAAAACTCTTTTCCAGTCCCCCTACTCTAATTTCTAACTGCTTTTTAAGTAGCATGAAGGAAACACGTTCCATTCATTGAACTTTCCAATTATTCCTCAGCATTTTAAGCACCGTATATTGCAGAACCTTACATTGCTTTTGGCACTGAACTGAAAAAACAGTGAAGTTAGATTGCAAAGACCTTGTTCGTGTTTTAGGGTCTACTGAACACAAACATAGTTGTACTTCTTGTTGATTCTGTTAGACTCTGTGTGGGCTGTTTTAATCGCAAACTTGCTTTTTATTTTTTGCAAACGACGTACGGTAACTGTATGTGAAATCCTGCAGAAATGTAAACACTTGATCAAACTGGTTGTAGGCTTAGCCCACTTCATCCTATAGCACAAAACTGACTGCAAAAGGTATCATCTTAGACCTACACACCGCTGCCCTTTTACACATATATTATTCAGCTCTACATTTAATTGGCTCCTGTCACACCCCTTGCCTTACAGTTGCTTACCTGGTTTGCCTTCTGTTTTTAGTGAGATTGCCATATATGGCTAAAAGAAAGAGCCTGACTAGTCAGAACTGCACCCTTAGGCAGTCACAAAGGAAGTGCTGTGTTTTGCAAGTCTCCCTACTTCCCTTTACAAAACCTCTGCCTGTAGTCACCAACTGCCTTCTATAAAAGGCAAAAAAAAAAAAAATCAACAGAATGATGCAGTGAAGAGTTTGATCTGATCATGAGTAAAGATAATGATATGCAGCATCCTAAAAAATGTACTTTCAGGTGGGATAAAAGCTTTCTGCACAGCTCATTAACTAATGTCACCAAGAAACAGCCTCTGTGTCTACAGGAAGACTGCAGTGCTCCAGCCTACTTCTGTTGTGTGCTGAGTTCAGCCAGTCTCTGTTGCTCAGCATCATGTTATCCTTTTGCTGCTGCTGTGAGAAGGAAATGCTTATTACAAACAATTTTTCATTTTAATTTTTTACCTGTTGTTAAAGATGTAAGTAACAGGGGAAAAATGAGGAAAAATGATGAGTGCTGGCTGTGCAGAGAAGCTCCCTTTGAACCCTGTTTCCATTATACTGACCATGGATGCTTTTCTATTTCAGGATAGAATTTTATAGTTGTTTTTGTTCTTTTATTTATGTGAGGCATTTGAAGTTTCTATCACAGTTGTATCATGTGAGATAGACTGTTCTTCATTATCCTGGGGTAAATCTAACTTGTATCAGTGGACAACACTTCCTGTGTCTTGTAGTAATTAGATATAATGTAAAAAGTAAATAGCAGTAGAGGTGATTGCATGTAGCTTCCTTTGCCTTAAACACAAAAGCAAGTTCCTTCACATTTCCTGGGTCCGTCTCCAAAACAAGCTGTCCTGAACTCTGCCACTTTCTAGTTTTGGGATGCTAACACTGGCCATTTTAACTGCTTTTATCGTAGTTTGCTATGTGGTACTTAGAAGTTTTTTTCATAGCAGGCCTTATGGTCCCAGTTAGATGAGATCTTTTTCTCTAAGAAGCCATCTGCTGTAATCTTCATATAAATTCATATAGTTTAACAAGGCAAATCCCTTTGACAAGGGAACCTTCTCCAAGAAATATGCAATCTGTGCATTTGTTCACAGGGTTTGTTCTAATAAGGAAGCTTTTCGGAAATTTGGCTGTTTCTGTACTGCAGGATGAGAAGCAGAGGATCTCAGGTCTCAGCTCCTCGGAGCACAGTCTGCATGTCATCTGTTGCATTTGGAATGTGGGCAGTGTTTTTCATAGCAGTAGCACCGTGGCCCAGATTTTTGGAGCCCTGTATGAGTTTGGATGGTCTCACAGCATGCTGTCACCATTGTGTTCCTGTGGTCAGACTGTTTGGTCTGCTGAACCAAAAGCCTGGAAGCGTTAACACCAGCAGGGACAATAAGGTGGAAATGAAGTGAAGAAATCAAACAAATGTAGAGCATTGTATTTGGGAAACAAGTGTTTGAGTAGGAGCTGGGAAAATCTCTGTAACATTCCTGAACCCATTCTCACCCTTGTTCACCTCTGTTAAGACACACAGACTCTTTTTCTCCAAGCAGTGGGAGAAAAATCCTTACAAACATCTTAGTTTTGTAGTTACTGGTGAAGGAAGCCTTTTTCAGCAGGACAGCTGTGTTTCTTGGCACTGTGCAGTATTTACACCCACCGTGCAACCAGAAACCAGTGTTTTGTCATCTGCTGCATGGTGAACTCTGAGGTTTTGAAAAGAAGTGATGCAGACATGATCAGGGCTCGTGTGATTTTGAAAGCTATGAACTAATCTAATAAACTTGCAGTTTTAGGGTGTTTGTGCAGCTAGTATTTCACTGCTTTAATTGTTACATGTTGCTTCATCCCTACCAGATGGGCTGAATTTAACCGATTATTTTTCTTCTTGTGCAGTATAGTTTACTTTTTGATGTGGAGGAATTTTTTGATTGCTTTCCATATTTCTGTCCAGGTTATGTGAGTGTGGCTGGCAGTTCCAAGTCCTTAGCTTACTTTGCCCTGAGCAAAGAAATACCACTGATCGTATGGATGATTGTTGCCCACTGCAGTCCTTGCCAAGGCAGTTCTTGCTGGATCAGTTTCCTATGTGGTCCAGCTGTCCCGGCTACCAGTGCCACAGGGAGGGATGTAGGGCAATAAATTGCTTCATCTTCTGTCTTTATTCCCTGTGTGGTTAGTCCAGTAATCCCACGAAATGAGTGTGGCTGATCTGTCTCTCACAGATGCTTTCCAGAACTTACCAGCTGTTTCTACATTCCGTTTTCCAGTTGTACTGCCCTGCTCTATTAGGGTGAAACTGTCATTAACAACAAATGGACTTAAACCATAAATCCTGCCATTCTCCACAGTACAGTGAGCAGTCTTGAAGATCAGATTGGCTTTTCACAGCTTGGGCCCTATTATGCATTACACACTCGAGAGCATAACGTGCACTTATACTGAGTAAGGTACCATATCAAGAGATCAAGATCATAACAGAGAGCTGTGATAGCTTTGAAGGCTGCTGTGTAAGTCACCTGCCTGCTGGAACTGGCTGGCAGTGTGTGTGTCCCCTGATGGGGCTCAAGTTGCAGTTTAAAGCAGTGATTTCCAACACTTAACAAGAGGTCTGTCACAGATCAGAGCACAAACCAACAAGCTTTGCCAGAGATGCTGGCATCTGACGTGGGCAAGAGGAGATTCAGGAGGATGGGGGTAGGGAAGAAGGTGAGCCACTGGATGTGTTTGGGAGCAGCTAATGGATGGCCACCACAGCCACCTGGCTGGCAATTGTGAGGGCATCACCAGAACCGAGTTACAAACACCTTATGCCACCTAGGAAGAGTAAACTGCTTCTATGGCTACTGCTGTCTCTGCCTCTCTGTCAAACATGGGTACTACCACTGCTTCTAAAGCCATTGTGTTCATTTAGAGAAAGTAATTACTCACTTCTTTACGCTGTAGCTTTTGTTGAGTTTGTTGTTGGCCTGACTTGCTGTAATTAAAGACATTTCCCACTGAAGGTATTGTTATAAATGTGTGGGATTTTTTTCATCTCTGATTTATAAATGCATCCAGTTTGGCCTCCCAAATCCTTGTTCTGGTTTCCATGACAACAAGGCTGATTTTTGAGGCTATTTCTTTCCCTTCCTTCATCTTGGGTGGGAAAGAGTTGCTGTCCCTTTCCAGTAACAATGTGATGGGCAAGCAAAACGGGGGTCTTGAAGGCAAATCTACAAAGAAGAAGCACACGGATACCTCCAGCTCTGGGCAGTGGGTGGTAGACATCTCCAAGTGTGCAGATGAAATGTTTGTCTTTTGCTTACAATATAGTTCCTAATGTAGGCTGGTGTTGGAGAATGAAAGATGCTGTGAATCAGTATAGAAAAGCATCATTGTATTATGGCATAACAATATCAGATTAATCTGGGAGCAGCATGAGAGACCACTAAGCTGTTCCTTTAACTAGTGCAGGGATGCTCCAAGTGTTCAATCTGACAGCTGGAGTTTCCAGCCCATCTTTCTGAGTGGAAAATCAAAATGTAGGTTAACTGTTCTCCATGAAGACAGAATGCAGGAATACCTCTGGTAAGCACGCTTCATCTGTACTGTCCTAAAGAGATCTATCTGTTAGAGGCTAATCTTTGAATCCTAAAATAAGCACACAATCCTAAATAAAGCACTCTTAGGGCCTGACTATGAAATGCTTCGTGTGCCTCGTGGTAGGATGAGAGTGCCATAAGCATTATTGAAAGCCAAGCGCTGTTAATAGCAAATCAATATCATGCCACAATACTAAAAGTGGTTGAGTGATTGCCTTAAGTAGCCACGCACAGGTTTTCCCTTTTGTCATGACTAAAACATGATGATCAGCCTGCTGTAACAGCAAGTCCCTTGGTGAGGATGAAGTCACAGCAGTACAATTTCTAGCTGCACAGCCAACCAGAAGCAATATAAACGCACGTGTTTTCTGTGCCCTACGCACAGGGGATTAAAAAAGTGAGTCATTTGCTGAAAAATGTACTGATAGTGTGGCACTTGGATGACTCCTAAGAAAGCTCTTGCAGGCTGTAAAGGCTGACTTGGAGAATGGGGAACAAGTCATTTTTGCTTTGACTAAAGTAAGGACATAGAAAGCAGACACAACTGGAAAAAAAGCAAAAAAATACCCAATTTGTCTTTCCAAACACCAACTTTTCCTTCTCTGATTTGCTTATCACACATTGGGCACTTCCATGCTTTTCACATCCCCGGGCATGTAATTCTTTATTCTTTATTTGCAGAAGACACGACTGTTGCATGTTTGGGTTTGTCTTTGTTTCTTGTGGTACAGCTGCACGTGACATGGGGTGGCTGCACAGAAATTGTTCAGCCTCTGGATTTTGTTTGTGGCACTGTGTGAAGCTTCCCCCAGATGGTCACTGATTCTGCTCTTCACGTAGCCCAGGGTGAGTTTAGAGGAAATAAATGTAACACGAGCTAGTCCTCCCTAAATAATCTTTAAGCACAGAGTCTACATTAACAGGAGGCTGCTAACAAGCTCTGCAGTGCTATCTCTGGGAAAGCTTTTCTCATGACTTGGAAGAAAATTATGAGTTGTAGTGTATTTTTTTTTTATTTGCTTTTTCTGAGTGGAAGAATTTGCTGTCTGATTGCTCAAGAATCAATTATTTGTTTACAATTGCATACAACTCTCTTAGGCTCACACATATAGAAGCAAACGTAATCTGAAACATGACAAAAATTAATAAGATAGCAGCTCTGGCATCACAGCTGTGATAGGTGTGTTTTTGTGAGTGTACTACAGAGCAATTCTTTTGCTAGAAAAAGAGGAATGGAAGCAAAGAACAGGGTGAAAAAGAAGCAGCAGATTTGCTCTAACCCTGTAATTTTTTAATTCCTGCAGGCGTCTGCTGTCAGACCATCTGCAGCTGTTGTTGGTCAACCAGTGATCTGACCTCTGAGAGGCAGAAAGCCATGCTATTCCCTAGCTGATCATTCAAGGCTTTTTATTCTAGCATTTAAATTGGATTTTATTCAATTTTGTTTAAATCCATTGTATCAACACTTAATGAACACAAGCCCTCCCACTCCGCTCTGTGGCTCTGTGGTTTCCATTGTGTACCAGCATCTCATTCTTTTTTATACCCTATACATATTCATTTCCTTTAATCTTTCATTCTGTTTCTCTTTCCCATTCTGTTTCTCTTCCTGATTATTATTAAATGCCTGAATGGTACTTAAATGTCAAGAAAGTCCTGAGAAATGTCACACACTGAAGGAAAGTGTGATATTTTATGTGTAAGAAGCCCTGAGCATGGCAATATCTGCTTTTTAGGCTGAGGGGCAGTTCTCGCCACCTCTCAGAACAACCTGATCTCTTGAGATAAACAGATTTACGTTGCTGACGGTGTATTGCTTTTGAACTTCAATACTGAAATTGGAGGTTCAGAAATGAATCCTCTCTTCTCTCTGGCTCATCTCTGCCCTCACAGGAGAATAGGTCACTTGGAACCATCAGCTGGTTTCATTAATTATTAATGCTAACACATGGCAAAAGCAATTTGGAGATCAGTGAGTACATGTGGGTCTGTTGATGGAAGCTTAAGGAGGGGGTGGGGAGTGGGACATGGCTCTCCATCTGAAACTAAATGGGTGGCAAGCTCTGAAGGGAGGGAAGTCAGCAGAAGGTTGAGGTGTAGCTGTGAGAATAAGATGCTTTACTTTTTAGTCAGATGCACATCTTAAATTGCATTAAACTGAAAATTGTTAAAGCGCAGCATGCAGTTCACATGAGTATTAGGTTACTGAGCTAAGCTGTGGTCTGTCCAAATATGCGTTTATAAGCTTTTACAAGAATTCTGATACTTGCTGAGTGTGTGGAAAAAGCAGAAAGCTATTCATTGTTAGGGAACTGTATACCTAGACCAACAGCAAGAATGCAACTCTTGTCTTTGTGTTCTAGTAGCCTGCTTGTGTACTTATAGTGAGTGGAGAAGATGGAAGTCTTGAGAACATAGCATATAGCAGGTATATGACACGTGCTATTTGAAAGTGATCTGTTATTCACCCCAACCTAGGTGGTCTGAGGAACAACAATACTTACCCCTACAGTAGAAAGAGAACCATGTAAACTTGTTTGTGAACAAAAACATTGTATTTGAATGTCTTACAGAACAGTTCCTGAGAGAGCAGTGTGCCAAATACCCCTGCTCCAGTTGGCCATGTGCTGCCAAGGGCTGTAGGCTGGGTTCAGCATCCAGGAGAGCTTCCCTCCCGTCGGAGCACAGCCACCTGTAATGCAGCTCCAGGTATGTCAGCCCAGCTTTAATCTAACCTCAGCAGCACTGGAGGGGAATGCTGCAGACATTAACATCATCCCCTGCTCCTGAATTGCTAAGGAGTGTTGGCACAGGGGGAATAAAGCACAAAGCTGCCTTCCTGTTCTTAGGCTGCAGCAGCTCATGCAGTGCCACAGATTAATGAAATTCCAGATTGTCTGATGGAGTTTTTCCCACAGAGCAAAATATTAACTGAGTCAATTGATTGCATTTTCATTTCTTGAGGGAGCGTTCAGCCCACACGTCCTATTGTGTGTCTGATCACAAAGAAACGTGTGCTGTAGCAATATTGTGTTATCTCGCTGGTGCTTTGTGGTACATCTTGAGTTGTTGTCTCTGATGTCAAAAGGAAATGGAAATTCTTGCACAAAAGATGAACCTGAGAAAGAAACGTATTCCTGTAAGTGCAGTGTCTGAGATGTAGGAAATGGCAGTAGCTGCTGGTGAAAAATACTGTGATAAATCCCCATCCATCTGGAACGTTCCCATAATCCACTACAGATTGGCAATTAATTGCACACTTAGTTCTATGTTATAAGGCCAGATAATAGGCTGTATTAGCTTAAGTCCCCCAGAGGCAGCAGAAATACATCACAATATTCTGAAATAGCATATTTTTATTAAAGCAATGCCTACAAGCTCCTGTCTGGTACTAGAAAGCTAGAAACTGCGCCTGTAATGAAAGGGCAGATCTACAGCACATGCTCCTATTTAGTGAAGCACTTAATTGCTTACTTTGAGTACCATTTTAAATAAATTCATCTCATCTATTTTCTAATTAAACACAGGAAACATTTTTTATCATGTGGTTGGTTGGGACACATAGTATTTAAATACCCTTCTCATGCAGCAGGAACTGTAAATGTCCTAGGCCATTTAGATTAAAATGAGAAATATACCTTTGAACAGCAGTGTGTGAAGTACTGAGGATTCTGGATGCACATTTCAATAAGTTTTTGCTAATTTATGGAGAACATTTTGTGGCCAGCTTGAATTTAGACAAAATTGCTAGTCATTAAACCAGTTACATATTGGGAAGATAAAAAACACATGTGTTAAAAAACACATATGTTTGGATTTTGTTTTTAATTATTCAAGTTTTTCCAGTTCTGCTGAATATAACATAATTGATGGCATGGGAAAATCAGCGGTGTAGCAGCAGAGAGAGCTGCATTGGTGCAGAGAATTGAGTTTAACTTGGAATGCTTTGGTAGGCTTCCCCTGGCACGGCTCTGCTCTGGTAACATGTCCAGAAAACAAGCTGGTTTCTGATTTCCAAGCATGTAGCTCCTGTGTTTAAGTGAGAAGTCTGGCACTCCCTAGAAGAACCAGTTCTCCTTGCTGTTTCCTTCCTTCACTTGAGGTTGCCATCTGACTGGTGATGTAAAAGCTCTGTCAGGAAGCTCTCGCTGGAAGAAAAGCCAGATTGAGCCCAGACCTTCCTGCCCTCATGTATTATACATCTGAAAGTCATGGTAATTTCATAGGAATTCATTCTCTAAAAATAGTCTCTTTGTGACTTAGGGCCTCTGCATCTTCCTAGTAGCAGCACCACGTAAATTAAGCATTCAGCTTTACCTTCACTTTTGTGCCATAGTCTCAGCTTTGCTTAATTCCCAGGAGTGCCAAGCCTGCATTTGCCAGTTACAACAGTGGATATTTCATTTATTACCTCTGGAAGTGTGAAGCAGTTGTGTCTATTGGGAGTGTCATCTTCTGTTTAGCCTACCACAAAGCCAAAGGGAAGAGATTCTTATTTTAGCTGAATTCAGCTTTTCTGTGTTTATAGAGAAAAGTCACTACAACAGATGACAACTACATGGGTGGGTTTTCTCTTTACCAAATTACAATTTTTTAATTTGTAGCTGTTCTCAGATGTTTTCTGTATTATTACATATGAGAATCTTATCAGTAGAATAGGATAAAAAAAAAAAAAAAAAAAGTCAGTAGAAAGAGTGCTGGTTACTAATCAGATACAGAACTCCACCATTGCTTTTCAGTCCTGATGAGACCCTTTCCTTTTAGCTGTCCCACCAGTCTGGGAAGCATCTGTGCTGCTTTTAGGCACAGGCCTGCCCTCATAGGATGCTGTGGAGGTGCTGGTTAGAGCCCCTTGATCTGGAGTGGTATTAAAGTGCCTGGAAGAAATCCCATGGCACAAGGTACAAATACTGATTCCTACATTTCAGGAGGTTTCTTTGATTTAAGACCTGTGTTCTTGCAGCTGTGCAAGCTTCTGTTTGTTTTCTCATGTGAGTTCACTGAAACACATTGTTGTGAAGCAACTTTTCTGATGCTACAAGAGAGCGATAACAGAAACCGACAGATCTTTTTGCATGTGTAGCTCTGCTCTAGATTTAACAATGGGTGTTTTTCCCCCACCTCCACAACTTTAGTAAGCCTGAATCACAGGACATCAGGACATCTCAAACGGTTTCATCTTACTGTAATTACCAAGTCATGTGAGGAATAGCTAAACAATTGTCTGCGCAACAATAGAGATGAAATAAAGATAGCCTGTAATTAATTCCTTCTAAGTTATAATTAATTTTGACTGAGTTGCTCAGGACAATATCCCTAAGTCTCACAGGCTGGGAGAGAGGACTGATTGCCAGCTGCTGCTCTTTGATTTATTTTTTTTTAGAGCAGATGGGGCCATTTCCAGCTATTGCTTAAGAGGAAGCGGTGAAGATGAAGGTACAGAGTGATTGATTGGCTTTGAATGGGCTCTGGGGTAGAGCTGCTAGGAGGAATGCTCTGAAGGCAAACCAGTCCCTGACAAGCGCTTTAAAATAGACTTCAGAGACGTTTTGTTGCAATTGGCCTTTAAATTTATAAGGATTCCTTTTGTTGTTTTTGCACTAGAAGCAGTAAAAATACACGATGGAGTGTTGTGTCAGCAGCTATTTTATTGTATGTTGAATCTGCTTTAGGTCCTATTGGTGTTAAAGGTAGAGAAGGATGATGCACGTGGAGGTTTCTATCCTTTTATCTTGTAGAAACAAACAATGGGAAAATATCTGTTAGATCATTATTCTACTTCTGTCTGTCAAGGTAGAACTGTTCTCTGCTTCCCTGTACAGCAAACTCTGGTGAATAATTCATTAAAACTAATTTATCTGAGAAATTTGGCCTCTTCCTTTGTTTGATGACAAAATGCAAAGTTCTCAGATGGATTTGTTGTTAGAAATTATTCATAAACTATTGGAATAAGTAAGTGCTAAAAAGCTGTGCGCGTTGAAAGTAAGTGATCTATGAAATGACAGTTTCTCTAAGGTGGTATTTAGGTTTGTGAATTGAGTAGTTTCTGGAGCTAATAGCTGGCCGTGTTCTTAGTCATGCATTTAAATGCAAAAAGTGAGAATCAAGGTTGGGAGATTTTCTTCGTGGTGCTCAGTTTGTGTTTTCCTGTTCTGAATTTCTCACTTATCACAGAATCATAAATTCTGGGTTGCAAAGGAGCACAACGCTCATCCAGTTCCAACCCCCTGCTGTGTGCAGGTTACCAACCAGCAGCCCAGGCTGCCCAGAGCCACATCCAGCCTGGCCTTGAATGCCTGCAGGGATGGGGCATCCACAGCCTCCTTGGGCAGCCTGTTCCAGTGCCTCACCACCCTCTGTGTGAAAAAAGATCATGCTCTTTTTCCCTTCCCTTCCCTTCCCTTCCCTTCCCTTCCCTTCCCTTCCCTTCCCTTCCCTTCCCTTCCCTTCCCTTCCCTTCCCTTCCCTTCCCTTCCCTTCCCTTCCCTTCCCTTCCCTTCCCTTCCCTTCCCTTCCCTTCCCTTCCCTTCCCTTCCCTTCCCTTCCCTTCCCTTCCCTTCCCTTCCCTTCCCTTCCCTTCCCTTCCCTTCCCTTCCCTTCCCTTCCCTTCCCTTCCCTTCCCTTCCCTTCCCTTCCCTTCCCTTCCCTTCCCTTCCCTTCCCTTCCCTTCCCTTCCCTTCCCTTCCCTTCCCTTTTTTTTGTCACCTTTTCCTTACTGTACTGCATGCAGCATCCTCATAGCACCTATACACCTAGTCCAGTGTGCTTTGGAAGGCAAAATTCCCACTGAAAGCAATGCTTAAAAGTTTCTCTGAAAGATCTGTTAATAGGTGTGAAAAGAAAGGCAGCAAAATTAGATGAGCAATCTAAGCCTTACGCAGAGGGGTTGCAAGTGGCATAAAGTGCATTCATCAGCTTAATCTTTCTACTGAGGCAATAGGCAGCTCACATTCAAATGTGTCCTTGTGCACTGGTTAGTCTGAGGCAGAGAACTTGCAGTCCTGCCTTTAAGAAGCCACCAGCACAGTGTGTGGAGGCACAGCCTGCACCTCATCTGTTTGCTTTGCCTTGAACATCGTCATTCTGATAAATCTGTTTACTGCTGGTTTTTCTTCAGAAGTCTATTTTCTTGTGTGCCCCACTGCACATTAATTCTTGAAGTGAGTAAACTGATCATAATGCTCTAAACTGCATAGTGCAGGATGGAGGCCACAAAGTTTCCCCAGTAGTTTTTGCTCTGAGACCCAAAATCATGCCTAGATTGTAAATTCCCTCTTTTCCCCCCCTTAACATGGGTGTCCTTAAACTTTCAGGTCTTCCCAATTAGATGGTTTATGTTGTTAGTGGCAGTCGTGCCTGTGTTGTACAGAGTTCATACGATATTCCTCGTTTATTGATGTATTTAACCGCTGTCATGCTGAGAAAGGATGGCTGCTCAGTAGCTCTCTTGAGTGAGGATTTATCAAGCACAAGTCTTCTGAGGCCAAGGGTGCAAGCAGCTTTCCACAACTCTCTGTCAGCAGTATTAATATCTAACTCTGTCTGGGGCACAGTAATGTGATTTCTGTAAGGATTCTATGACCAGAATGACTTTACTCGTGGTGATGCCAGATTACTGTGTACCTGCCCCTTTTATTTTCCCTTCCTTTTTCTCTTGCTCCTGTTTTTGTACTTCCCTTTTGGTTTCGTCAAAGGAATTTGTTGTACTG